TGATTATTTTAGAGCTCCATTAGCCCACAGACGTCCCTTCACCAGTCACCAATGAATACAGAAAACAAAGAAAATCAGCTGTAGATCCACCAGGTGTAGAGATGTCCTTGTACCCTCAAGGCGTCAGGAGCCATGTAAAAACTAGGATCATCCTGGAGGTTTTCAGCTCCCTTGGGTCAGTCCCAGTCAATATGGAATCAACCTGAGAAGACAAGAACAAACTGACCATTTTTTCTTCAAAACAATACCCCTGTCCTTTGTTTTACACAAAGCTCCTTTTTTTTTAACTCCAATCTGTCCATCTTGTGTCCTTGTCATTGAAGTTTTAACTCTGCTCTGACTGTTTGCTACTGGGTGGGGCGGGTGGCCACACTTAGAACATGAGAAATCAACTGAATTGGGTGAAGGATCTGGTCATTCTTTCTACATACCATCCTGAAGGTATGTTTCAGATACAAATGAGTGGAGGCCATCTTTAAGGCTTAGCCTAGTAAGCCGGAAGTAGCTGCTAAAAGCAAAGTCTGGGAAGTTTTGTTAAGGTCTTAGCTCGATCTAAGATCAACGCTAGAAGCAGATGGATAATTAGGTGGATAAGAATGTGCAAGCATTATTGACGATTTGCCAGAACAAAGCAATCTTACCTAACCAGTCCATGACATGCTGATGAAGGCAGCAGGGTCTTCATACCTGGACCTGACAAATCTACGTTTCCGAAGTATATCACACTTCTAGATGTTAAAGACAGACAATTAATGAAGTCAATATGTTAGAGAGCTTATGCTGGTGAAGCCTTTGATTTGTTAAATATCCCAATAAGAGACAAACATCTTGAGGTAAAGTCAGTAGGATTTAGAGAAGGGGCACCTTGACGCAGTTGTTCTCTTGTTTGACACACAGCTGCAGTTTACAGTGCAGGTAGACCTCAGCAGAGCTTCCAGAGAACTGGAACATGTTGAAGGAGAAGTAGTTGGAGGTTCCCTCTCCGTTTCCTTCCACCTTCACCGTCTGGTCCTCAGAGTTTGGACAACTGCCCACAAAAGTGAAAACAATCTTAGTTTAATGGTCAGATTAGAGAGATTATAAAGGTTGTCATGACTGGATCTCAGCAGCAGTCTCACCCATTCTTAATCAGGTAATATTTGCGACCATCAGAGGGGGAGGCCTGGTCTGTTGCCCAGCAGGAGTCGGTTACCACAGCAACCAGGTTTTCATCCAGGCCGTCGGTGTCCAGCTCCACCCAGACCTTCTGGTTGAGTTGTATTTCTGTGTTTGAATCCACAGCTTGTGTTCGGCCGGCGTCAGCGTAGGCCTTCATCGTCAGAGAGTAATTCCAAGGTCCGGATGAGATGACTTGGACCACAGAGCTGAAGGTAACCCACACAGATCCATTGGTTTCGTTGTTAAGGTGAAAAAGGAACTTGGGTGAGGAAAGCTATTTCTGATTTTTCTGTTTCAACACACCTGGACTTGACTCTGAAGGCCACAGTCTGTATATCAGGATCAGTGTGAGTGCAGGAGAAGTCGATGGAAACCTGGTCTTGGCGGGTAATCCCATCAGAGGAAAGGTTCTGGGTCATGATGGTGTTTTTGTAGACAGTTTGGCTGTTGTTTTTCTGAAGATTGAAGCAAGAAAATGTTTGAAACAGGTGAGATATTATTATTTAACGAATTCAGGGTTGGAACTAAACCAGAACCTGAACTGGAGAAAATACACTGGTTGATTTAAACTATAATGATCTAGAGGAGTGAGAACCCACCATGATTTCAGTCCCACATAGGTTGGAGCTGTTGAAGCTGAAAGTCACCATGTGGCTCTGCTCATCCACCTGTCCTCTGCAGGTCGCCTCTTTCAGCTGTAAGGCAGAATAGTCGATGCCTTTTTCCTCCAGGAGACAACCGACCAGAGTCAGAGAAGCAGAGTTCAGACTGCAGACCGGTGAGTCACCTGAAGGTTACAGTGTTGGTTAGGAAAATCCCAGTTAGAGGGTTTGCTCCAATCATTCAGACCTGTCTTTATGGTGTCACAGCTGTCATACCCAAAGAGTTGGTCTCTCTGTACTTGGAGGCAAAAATGGCTCTACAGAGGCAGCCAGTTTCTCCACCAGCAGTCTTCTCTCCACAGAACTCATGATCGCTGCAGGTCCTGTCCTGGCAGAAGGCCCTAGGGGGCGCTGCA